CAAAGACTACTAAAAGGTTGTGAAGTCAGGATGTTCCTTACGTGAAGTTTGCTGATTTGGGTTGTAAAGGTGCACTGGTAGGTTCATTCAGAAGAGTATTCAGCTAAAGTAGAAAAAAAAGCCAGTTGTTAAACTCTGGAGAAAATCCTTTTTATTAGGATTTTTTCTTCTTCTTAGCTTTGAATCAATGGTGCTTAACATTTCTATTTTTATTTTTGGACTCAAACTGCTTAATTTGTTAATGGAGAATGCTTACTGCATTGTTGACATTACTCTCCACTTGATTGTAGCTCTTGTTTTTGAGTACAGGGTCTTCGGGAATGCTGATATTGGGCAGATCGAATGTAAAGACGATGGCATATGAGGTGTCTGAGAGTTCTGTTGGCAGAGAAACAATCAATTATTTCAGTTAATACCTACATTAATCAGTGCTTGAAGTGTTCATAATGCAAAATATGAAACTTACTCTCGTAGGTGACATTCACAATTTTCACTGATTGATTGAGCTGGGGTGTTCTTGAGTTAAGAAGAGTGTCGACAGCAGTGAGGACCAGAGCTTCACTGGGGACTGGAGATGAGGAGTTGAACAACAGCCTGCTTGTGACCACCGCTAATCCAGATCTGTAAAGAGCACCACTTGTGATGAATATTGTTGAGGGTTATGGGTTTGAAATGTAACTTTATTCATTATTATCTAACAAAGCCTTACATTGGGATTGCTGAAGTCACGGTAGTACTGGCCGGTGTAGTTGTCACTACTAAAATCAGAAATAGAAATGTTCAGTGCTAGTGATGTACAGTAATGAAAAAAAATCGATTAAAAATGTTAAATGACCACAAGTCAAAAAGGTTAACAAACCTGTCAGTAAACGAAGTTCATTTAGGAAGCTGACTGGCTGGATGACATCTTGATCCTGGAAGGTGTATCCCATAATGCCCACAATCTGGTTAGATGTGCTCCTTAAGTTAAAACAAGACATTCTTTTAAGACTTCAGTCCACAATAAAAGTAAGATGAAAATGAGAACATTATTAATGTATTTATTCCTTTATCTGTTGGGCTGCTTTAAAATCCAAAAATGCACAAAGACAACTAAAAGGTTGTGAAGTCAGGATGTTCCTTACGTGAAGTTTGCTGATTTGGGTTGTAAAGGTGCACTGGTAGGTTCATTCATAAGAGTATTCAGCTAAAGGAGAAAACAAAGCCAGTTGTTAAACTCTGGAGAAGATCCCTTTTACAAAGATTTTTTCTTCTAATTAGCTATGAATCAATGGTGCTTAACATTTCTATTTTTATTTTTGGACTCAAACTGCTTAATTTGTTAATGGAGAATGCTTACTGCATTGTTGACATTACTCTCCACTTGATTGTAGCTCTTGTTTTTGAGTACAGGGTCTTCGGGAATGCTGATATTGGGCAGATCGAATGTAAAGACGATGGCATATGAGGTGTCTGAGAGTTCTGTTGGCAGAGAAACAATCAATTATTTCAGTTAATACCTACATTAATCAGTGCTTGAAGTGTTCATAATGCAAAATATGAAACTTACTCTCGTAGGTGACATTCACAATTTTCACTGATTGATTGAGCTGGGGTGTTCTTGAGTTAAGAAGAGTGTCGACAGCAGTGAGGACCAGAGCTTCACTGGGGACTGGAGATGAGGAGTTGAACAACAGCCTGCTTGTGACCACCGCTAATCCAGATCTGTAAAGAGCACCACTTGTGATGAATATTGTTGAGGGTTATGGGTTTGAAATGTAACTTTATTCATTATTATCTAACAAAGCCTTACATTGGGATTGCTGAAGTCACGGTAGTACTGGCCGGTGTAGTTGTCACTACTAAAATCAGAAATAGAAATGTTCAGTGCTAGTGATGTACAGTAATGAAAAAAAATCGATTAAAAATGTTAAATGACCACAAGTCAAAAAGGTTAACAAACCTGTCAGTAAACGAAGTTCATTTAGGAAGCTGACTGGCTGGATGACATCTTGATCCTGGAAGGTGTATCCCATAATGCCCACAATCTGGTTAGATGTGCTCCTTAAGTTAAAACAAGACATTCTTTTAAGACTTCAGTCCACAATAAAAGTAAGATGAAAATGAGAACATTATTAATGTATTTATTCCTTTATCTGTTGGGCTGCTTTAAAATCCAAAAATGCACAAAGACAACTAAAAGGTTGTGAAGTCAGGATGTTCCTTACGTGAAGTTTGCTGATTTGGGTTGTAAAGGTGCACTGGTAGGTTCATTCAGAAGAGTATTCAGCTAAAGAAGAAAACAAAGCCAGTTATTAAACTCTGGAGAAGATCCCTTTTACAAAGATTTTTTCTTCTAATTAGCTTTGAATCAATGGTGCTTAACATTTCTATTTTTATTTTTGGACTCAAACTGCTTAATTTGTTAATGGAGAATGCTTACTGCATTGTTGACATTACTCTCCACTTGATTGTAGCTCTTGTTTTTGAGTACAGGGTCTTCGGGAATGCTGATATTGGGCAGATCGAATGTAAAGACGATGGCATATGAGGTGTCTGAGAGTTCTGTTGGCAAAGAAACAATCAATTATTTCAGTTAATACCTACATTAATCAGTGCTTGAAGTGTTCATAATGCAAAATATGAAACTTACTCTCGTAGGTGACATTCACAATTTTCACTGATTGATTGAGCTGGGGTGTTCTTGAGTTAAGAAGAGTGTCGACAGCAGTGAGGACCAGAGCTTCACTGGGGACTGGAGATGAGGAGTTGAACAGAAGCATGCTTGTGACCACCGCTGAACCAGATCTGTAAAAGGTATAAAATGTTTTTTGACAACAGTTTGTAAATGTTTTCAGTTTGTAAAACTGAAATAAAATAACTTCTTTACTTTTGATTGGAAGTTCTTTAAATAGAATATAATAATAACTTACAATAGTTTTACAGGAGCCAAAGTGAACGACACTGTTGATTCAGGAATCACCGTTGTAGTGATCAATTCTGTGATAAATATTAAAAATAAAAAAACCTTATTGATTTCCAGAATATTTTATTTATAAACTAAATCATAAATATTAAGTAACCTGTTGGAGAACGAAGCTCATTCAGGAAGCTGACTGGTTGGATAACATCTCCTTCCGGGAAGGTGTAAACCATAAAACCATTAATTTGGTTTAATGTGCTCCTGCAGGAAACACAAATACCATCTGTAAGGCGGCTCAGTCCATATATCCAAATAATTTATTTTATTTTTTGAGAGTTCCAAAAAAAGATCATTTTAAAATCACTTGACTGCTTACGTGAAGTTTGATGATTTGGGTTGCAAAGGTGCACTAGTGGGTTCATTCAGAAGAGTATTCAGCTGCAGGAGAAAATCAAATCATTTATTAAATTGTTGAGAAGAATTCCATTGATCCAACCCTTTTTAATAGGTTAAATTCTAAATTCATACCGCATTATTGACAACATCCTGGACATATTGGTATGTGCTGTTTCTCTGCTGAGGATCCTCAGACATGTTGATATTATTTAAGTTAATATTCAAGATGACAACATAAGCAGTTTTAGAGATGTCTGTATGAAAAGAAACACTCAGGTTAATTCTGAGATTAATTACTTATTTGTTGGTCATTATTATTATTTTAAATCAAAATTATGAAACTTACTCTGATAGGTAACATTGACAATCGTCAGAGATTCATTGAGGTGTGACATTCTAGAGTTCAGGAGAGTGCTGATTGCACCAAGAATTTGATTTTCCTGGGGCACTGAAGACAAGGATGAGAATACCAGCTTGGTTGTGACTGTTGCACTACCAGTCACATTTGTTGTGAGTGCTTTAGGTATGCCTGAAACATCTGATTGAATAGTTGTTGAACCGTTCATAGATGTAGCACTGCTTGTTAGAATCTCTGCTGGTGTTGTTTTAATTGATGTTTGACTTGGAATTGTAGATAGTGTGGATGTTTCTAAATTTGACATATTTGCATTCTGACCTACTGTAGCTGCTGTTACTGGAATCACTATTGGAAATTCAACTGTATTGGTGAGACCTGTTAAAATTCCTGTTGTAGTTGTTGATGTAGTTGTAGATTCAGGATGCATGTTTGCCCCTGTTGTTGGACTGGAAGTGGTTTTGATTGTAGTTGAAAATGAATTACCAGCAGGAGATGTGCTGGTAACAGCTAGGGTTGTGGGTAACATATTTTCAGAAGTTGCTTGAACTGTGGATGTTGTTTGAGTTGCAGTTAGGCTTGTGCTTGAAGACGTTGGGACTGTTGTTGAAGCAAGTGTTGTTGTTGCCGATGTAGTTGTGAAAGGCTCAGTTGGGTTTGTAGATGGTTTAGTTGTTGTTCCAGCTGCAGTTGTTGTTCCTGAGGATGTTGGCACTATTGTTGAAGCAAGAGTTGTTGCTGATGTAGTAGTTGAAGGATGAGTTGGGGTTGTGGATGATGTAGTTGTTGTTTCAGCGGCAGTTGTTGTTCCTGAAGATGTTGGCACAGTTGTTGAAGCAAGTGTTGTTGTTGTCTCAGTTGTTGTTGAAGCTGATGTAGTAGTGGAAGGATGAGTTGAGGTTGTAGATGATGTAGTTGTTGTTTCAGCTGCAGTTGTTGATCCTGAAGATGTTGGCACAGTTGTTGAAGCAAGTGATGTTGTTGAAGCCAATGTAGTAGTAGAAGGATGAGTTGGGGTTGTGGAAGATGTAGTTGTTGTTTCAGCTGCACTTGTTGTTCCTGAAGTAGTGGGCAAAGATGTTGAAGCAAATGTTGTCGTTAAAGCTGATGTAGTAGTGGAAGGCTCAGTTGTGGTTGTAAATGGCGTAGTTGTTGTTTCAGCAGCAGTTGTTATTCTTAAAGTAGTTGGCACAGTTGTTGAAGTAAGTGTTGTTGCCTCTGTTGCTAAAGCCAATGTAGTAGTAGAAGGATGAGTTGGGGTTGTGGATGATGTAATTGTTGTTTCAGCTGCAGTTGTTGTTCCTGAAGTAGTTGGCACTGTTGATGTTGTCTTGGTTGTTGTTGAAGCTGATGTAGTAGTGGAGGGCTCAGTTGTGGTTGTAAATGGTGTAGTTGTTGTTTCAGCTGCAATTGTTGTTCCTGAAGTAGTTGGCACAGTTGTTGAAACAAGTGTTGTTGTTGCCTCTGTTGTTGAAGCCAATGTAGATGTGGAAGGATGAGTTGGGATTGTGGATGATGTAATTGTTGTTTCAGTTACAGTTGTTGTTCCTGAAGTAGTTGGCGCTGTTGTTGAAGCAAGTGTTGTTGTTGTTGTTGTCTCGGTTGTTGTTGATGCTGATGTAGTAGTGGAAGGATGAGTTAGGGTTGTAGATGGTGTAGTTGTTGTTTCAGCTGCAGTTGTTGTTACTGAAGATGTTGGCACAGTTGTTGAAGCTGATGTAGTTGTTGCTTCTGTTGTTGTTGATGCTGATGTAGTTGTGGAAGGCTCTGCTGTGGTTGTAAATGGTGTAGTTGTTGTTTCAGCAGCAGTAGTTGTTCCTGAAGTAGCTGGCACTGTTGTAGTAGAAAGATGAGTTGTGTTTGTAGATGCTGTAGCTATTATTTCAGCTGCCGTTGTTCCTAAAGACACCATTGTGGAAACATGTGCTGTCGTTGCCTCTGTTGTTATTGAAACTGATGTGGTAGTTGAAGGTTCAGATGTGGTTGTAAATGGTGTAGTTGTTGTTTCAATTGCAGTTGTTCTTGATGATGTTGGCACAGTTGTTGAAGCAAGTGTTGTTGTTGCTTCCGTTGATGTTAAAGGTGTTGTGGTAGTGGGAGGCTCAGCTGTGGTTGTAGAGGGCGTAGTTGTTGTTTCTGAAGTAGTTGGCACTGTAGTTGAAGCAAGTGTTGTTGTTGCCTCTGTTGTTGTTGATGCTGATGTAGTAGTGTAAGAAAGAGTTGGGGTTGTGGATGATGTAGTTGTTGTTTCAGCTGCAGTTGTTCCTAAAGATGTTAGCACAGTTGTTGAAGCAAGTGTTGTTGTTGAAGCTGATGTAGAAGTGGAAGGTTCAGTTGTTGTTTCAGCTGCAGCTGCTGTCCCTGAAGTAGTTGGCACTGTTGCTGAAGCAAGTGTTGTGGTTACCTCTGTTGTTGTTGAAGCTGGTGTTGTAGTGAAAACTTTGGGTGTGGTTGGAGATGGTGTGGTTGCTGTTTCAGCTGCAGTCGTTCCAGAAGAAGTTGGCACTGTTGTCGAAGCAAGTGTTGTTGTTGCCTCTGTTGTTGCTAAAGCTGATGTAGCAGTGGATGGTTTAGTTGTGGTTGTAGATGGTGCTGTCGTTGTTTCAGCTGCAGTTGTTTCTAAAGATGTTGACACAGTTGTGGAAACATGTGTTGTAGTTGCCTCTGTTGTTGTTGATGCTGATGTAGTAGTGGAAGCTTCGGTTGTGGTTGTAGATGGTGTAGTTTTTGTTTCAACTGCAGTTGTTGTTCCTAAAGAAGTTGGCACTGATGTTAAAGCATGTGTTGTTGTTGAAGCTGATGTAGTAGAAGGCTCAGTTGTGGTTATAGATGGTGTGGTTGTTGTTTCAGCTGCAGCTGTTGTTCCTGAAGATGTAGAGACTGTTGTTGAAGCAAGTGTTGTTGCCTCTGTTGTTGTTAAAGCTGATGTAGTAAAAGGTTCATTTGTGGTTGTAGATGGTATGGTTGTTGTTTCAGCTGTAGTTGTTCCTGAAGATGTCTGTGTTGATGTTGAAGGAAGTGCTGTTGTTGGTGCCTCTGTTGTTGTTGAAGCTGATGTAGTAGTTGAGCTTTCAGTTGTGGTTATAGATGATGTAGTTGTTGTTTCAGCTGCAGTTGTTGTTACTGAAGATGTAGGGACTGTTGTTGTTGCTTCTGTTGTTGAAGCTGGTGTACTAGTGGAAGGTTCAATTGTGGTTGTAGATGGTGTAGTTGTTATTTCAACTGCAGTTGTTGTTCCTGAAGATGTAGCGACTGTTGTTGAAGGAAGTGTTGTCGCCTCTGTTGTTATTGATGCTGATGTAGTAGTTGAACTTTCTGTTATAGTTGTAGAGGGTGTGGTTGTTCCTGAAGATGTGGGTGTTGATGTTAAGGGAAGTGTTGTTGTTGGTGTTTCTGTTGTTGTTGAAGCTGATTTAGTAGAAGGGTCAGTTGTGGTTATAGATGGTGTAGTTGTTGTTTCTGATGATGTTGGCGCTGTTGTTGAAGTAAGTGTTGTTGCCTTTGTGGTTGTTGAAGCTGGTGTAGTAGTGGAAGGTTCAATTGTGGTAGTAGATGGTGTAGGTGTTGTTTCAGTGGCAGTTGTTGTTCCTGAAGATGTAGGGGCTATTGTTGAAGGAAGTGTTGTTGCCTCTGTTGTTGTTGAAGCTGGTGTTGTAGTGGAAGGTTCAATTGTGGTTGTAGATGGTGTAGTTGTTGTTTCAGCAGTAGTTGTTCCTGAAGATGTTGATGTTAAAGGAAGTGTTGTTGTTGAAGCTGATGTAGTAGAATAGTCAGTTGTGGTTGGAGATGGTGTAGTTGTTGTTTCAGCTGTAGTTGTTTCTGAAGATGTGGGTGTTGATGTTGAAGAAAGTGTTGTTGTTGGTGCCTCTTTTGTTGTTGAAGCTGATATAGAAGGCTCAGTTGTGGTTATAGATGGTGTAGTTGTTGTTTCAGCTCCATTTGTTGTTCCTGAAGATGTAGGGACTGTTGTTGAAGTAAGTGTTGTTGTTGCCTCTGTTGTTGTTGATGTTGTAGTAGAAGGTTCATTTGTGGTTGTAGATGGTGTAGTTGTTGTTTCAGCTGTGGTTGTTCCTGAAGATGTGGGTGTAGATGGTGCCTCTGTTGTTGTTGAAGCTGATGTAGTAGTTGAACTTTCTGTTGTGGTTGTAGATGGTGTAGTTGTTCCTGAAGATGTGGGTGTTGATGTCAAAGGAAGTGTTGTTGTTGGTGTTTCTGTTGTTGTTGAAGCTGATGTAGTAGAAGGCTCAGTTGTGGTTATAGATGATGTAGTTGTTGTTTCAGCTGCAGTTGTTGTTTCTGATGATGTTGGCGCTGTTGTTGAAGTAAGCATTCTTGCCTCTGTTGTTGTTGATGCTGATGTAGTAGTGGAAGGTTCAATTGTGGTTGTAGATGGTTTAGTTGTTGTTTCAGCAGTAGTTGTTCCTGAAGATGTTGATGTTAAAGGAAGTGTTGTTGTTAGTGTCTCTGTTGTTGTTTCAGCTGCAGTTGTTGTTACTGAAGATGTTTGGGCTGTTGTTGTTGAAGGAAGTGTTGTTGTTGGTGCCTCTGTTGTTGTTGATGCTGATGTAGAAGTGGAAGGATCTGTTGTGGTTGCGGATGCTGTAGTTGTTGTTTCAGCTGCAGTTGTTGTTCCTGAAGATGTCGTGACTGTTGTCGAAGCAAGTGTTGTTACCTCTGATGTTGTTGATGTTGATGTTGTAGTGGAAGGTTCCCGTTGTGGTTGTAGATGGTGTAGTGTTTGTTTCAGCTGTAGTCGTTGTTTCTGAAGATGTTGGCGCTGTTGTTGAGGGAAGTGTGGTTGTTGATTCTGTTGTTGTCGAAGCTGATGTAGTAGAAGGCTCAGTTGTGGTTATAGATGTTATAGTTGTTGTTTCAGCTGCAGTCGTTGTTTCTAAAGATGTTGGCAGTGTTGTTGAAGTAATTGTTGTTGTTGATTCTGTTGTTGTCGAAGCTGATGTAGTAGAAGGCTCTGTTGTAGTTATAGATGGTGTAGTTGTTGTTTCAGCTGCAGTTGTTGTTTCTGAAGATGTTGGCGCTGTTGTTGAAGTAAGTGTTGTTGTTGATTCTGTAGTTGTCGAAGCTGATGTAGTAAAAGTCTCAGTTGTAGTTATAGATGTTGTAGTTGTTGTTTCAGCTGTAGTCGTTGTTTCTGAAGATGTTGGCGCTGTTGTTGAGGAAAGTGTGGTTGTTGATTCTGTTGTTGTCGAAGCTGATGTAGTAGAAGGCTCAGTTGTAGTTATAGTAGGTGTAGTTGTTGTTTCAACTGCAGTTGTTGTTTCTGAAGATGTTGGCGCTGTTGTTGATGGAAGTGTTGTTGATTCTGTTGTTGATGAAGCTGATGTAGTAGAGGGCTCAGTTGTGGTTATAGATGTTGTAGTTGTTGTTTCAGCTGCAGTCGTTGTTTCTGAAGATGTTGGCGCTGTTGTTGAAGTAAGTGTTGTTGATTCTGTTGTTGTCGAAGCTGATGTAGTAGAAGGCTCAGTTGTAGTTATGGATGTTGTAGTTGTTGTTTCAGCTGTAGTCGTTGTTTCTGAAGATGTTGGCGCTGTTGTTGAAGTAAGTGTTGTTGATTCTGTTGTTGTTGAAGCTGATGTAGTAGAAGTCTCAGTTGTAGTTATGGATGGTGTAGTTGTTGTTTCAGCTGCAGTTGTTGTTTCTGAAGATGTTTGCGCTGTTGTTGAAGTAAGTGTTGTTGTTGATTCTGTTGTTGTCAAAGCTGATGTAGTAGAAGGCTCAGTTGTAGTTATAGATGTTGTAGTTGTTGTTTCAGCTGCAGTCGTTGTTTCTGAAGATGTTTGCGCTGTTGTTGAAGTAACTGTTGTTGATTCTGTTGTTGTTGACTCTGGTGTAGTAGTGGTAGGTTCAGTTGTGGTTGTAGAT